CTATCTGAACTGAGATATTCATATTCTTCACCGGGCAATAATCCGATCATGTAGTCATTAACTTTGTCAAAAACCTCATGGGTTGGACATAATATTGCTCTTTCCCGAAACCATGCAGCCTCATTTAAACTGTTGATCAAATCTGGATATACAGATCTGACAATTGCTTCTATAGGATCTCCTGGAGTCTGTATGATGACTTCATCTGGGAAAACAATTTCAGCTTCTCCATCATTTGGTTCATTTATTTTGCCTTCCCCAATTTTTAACAACAAATCTCCAAATTCACGTATCTCCTCAGTGTCAGTCACATTATTCCCACCCCTTAATCTCATATTAACAGTCAATCTCAGAACCTTACAATGTCTCCATAGATGAGATGAGTTTATCGCAGAGTTGACAATATCTGCTCTGCTACCTTTAGGAACGACTGGTAATATTTGTCTGAAATCACCTCCAAGGACAATAACTTTTCGTCCAAATGGAAGATATGGAGCATTTGGATTAGATCGTCTTAGTACATCCTTTAGTGATCTGTCAAGAGCTTCAAAATAATGCTTATGTACCATTGGGGCTTCATCCCATATGATAAGTTTTGCTCTTGTTACCAAAGCATATAGATCACTTCCTGCTTTTATAGTACATGTTGAATCATTTGTCACATTGATGGAAATTTGAAACCTTGAATAAGCTATTTTTCCACCTACCAACAGTAAAGAAGCAATACCACTCGATACCACATTGAGTACAATATTTCCTTCTTTGCGTACTGCAGTTGAAATTATACGCCACACATACGTCTTTCCAGTTCCACCATACCCATATACAAAAAACAAACCTCCATTTCCTTTTTGAACTGCAGCCAATATCTCTTTGTAGATTTTCAGTTGTACGGCAGTAAGGTTAGAATAAAGAACATCATGTTTTTTTTCACATCATGTTCTTTTTTCAGTGATGATCTGTCATAATCTAATTCATCGTGGATCATTGGATTTGTACCATCATCAATAAACACGTCTCTAGGATATGGCATACCAGGAAAATCCTTTAGACTTTTACCATGAGATCGTAAAATAATTTCAATGTCCTTTAATGCATGCATCTTCATTTCATCTTCAGAAACATTGTAATCTATTTATTAAAATGAAAGCAAGAAAGTAATTAACATTAGATGCATAAATTTTTAAAATATATGGCAAATATAAAATATTATAATCTTCATTCCTATATAACCATTTTAATCTTTTAGGTATGTCTTCTGTGTAACAGTCCCAAGTTTCATTCCATACATGATCAGGTTGCGACACAATGTCACCTTCTAATAATTGTGTAAAAAGGTTTCTGCAGTAATTTGCTGAACCCCATGTAGAGCCCTCCCTTATGCAGTCTATGTATTCCTTGTCATCATCAAGTAACCCTCTTACAAAGCAAGCTTCTTTGAATGTTGAATATTCTGTTTCATTGACTGTCATGATATCTTCGTAACATGTAGGACCTTTGGCTATGTTAAGTAGGACCCTTAGGTAGTAAGGTTCACCAGCAGTTATAGGGACTCCATGAATTCTACCAATACTTGAGCCTCTTTGTCTTGGGGTCCATTTTTTTTTTTCTTTTTTCACACAAAATATTTTGGAAAATTGATGTATGTGAGACTTTTACCTTCAGGGTAAATGGAATTAGCTTCCATCCAAGCAGTAAACTGTGAATGCCTGTTGGATGCCCTGATGATAATAGTTTCAACAGTTTGATCCTCATCATAGACAACATTCTGTTGACCAGGCATATGAAAACTTAGACGTTCAACATGATGTGACCTGTAGTGTATAGGGAATGAAAACATACGCCATGCAGCTTCACAACTTGACAGATATCTTCCTTCGTACCAATCTTTAACCTCATCTTTTGGACCTTTATCTAATTGTTCCCTAATTATCACACCATTGACAGTGTATTTGAAACAAACTCTGTCAGAACCTTTGTTCAAATACTTGAAAAGATATTTTATAGCACCTGCTTGATTGCACCATTCGACGTTTGTATGTGCATGATACCTAAGAGTCAACACTGGATTGTAACCAACAACCCATCTGTTGTCTATAGTTGCACCGTCTTTTTCAAATGTCCTGCCATCTTCTCTTCTCCTGTAATCTAGGAAACCATCTTCACCAATACTCGTAGTTTCTTTGAACTTTTTAGGGAACCTTTTTGAACATTGCTGTTTAACCATGCACGGACTATAGGAGAAATCATCACCACATGGACCATGAATCATCATTTCTGTTACAATGTTGTATAAAATAGGATGGTCATTTTTATCAGGGAGCTCTGCACATATGAAATTGTCGATATCTTCAGGTTTTGATAGCTTATCATCTCGATGTAACCAAATAACTATATGTGCATGTGGGAGTCCTCTTTTTTGATACTCTATAGTGTATACGGCTGTACAATATGATAAAATATATTCTTCATAAGTTAGAAAAGTTATAAATATAAAAGAAATTATATAGTAAAAAAAACTGAAGTGCAAGAAAAAAGGTACCTGCTTCCTGTCTGCCAAATATATTTTTGTCTTTAATAAATTTCATCATGCAGTTAAGATTCATCATGAACACCCTCATAACAATATCTGGTCTATTTTCGGGCCTAAGCCCTTTGCTGTTGCAATACCTGGTTATCTCTGGTCATTTATTGTTACACGTGAAGGTTAAGAAAACATCGGGATACCCATAAGTTTTAACAATTGTCATTGCATCAATGTAATTTTCCTTTTCCATCTATCACCACCTGTGAATGAAGAAGGCATTATAACCCTCCCAAGATCTGAAGCATCTTGATTTCCCTTTGAAAGTGTCTTTTTCATGTTTTCATATGTTTCACAGCGCAAATTTCTTTGATTTTTTTTGATCCAACATATTTTTCCTGATTCAACTGCACTATATCCATCCACTAAAAATTGTTGGAAAAGTCTCCGAGCATATAACAACATTGAATAATCCTGGTTTCTATCTTGTATACGGAATGCAAACCATTCTCGGAGACTCATCCATTTTCGTGGTCCTTTATACTCTTCTTCAACACCATCAGTATCATCAATTTCATCATAATCTTCACCTTCTGAATCTTCTGGATTTCCAAGCTTGATGTTTATTCTGAAACCATCTTCACCATATGGAAAAATCAATGGATATTGAAGTGATATATATGAAGGATGTAGCTCATTGATACGCTGGAATTCTCCAGACTTATACTGATCAATGATATCTCGTGTTTCAGATTCGTTTCCTTCATCGCCAGGTAGTATAACTACAACTTTATCGACGGTTGGTAGATTATGTGTTCTACCACCCGTATCTCTAATTGAAATTAATTTGAGTCTGATTTCGACTGAAGAATCTGCCTGAAGGGTGTCACGTACCTTCCTGTAGTTTTTAACCAACACATTGTGTTCATCCATTGCAATCTGTATGTCACTAACAATCTGTGCATCAAGTTGTTTAGCTTGTTTTTAACTCTGCTCCGAACTGCAATTACATTTGATCAGTAGTGTGTAAAAATTATGTCTATAATAATACTGTGAAACATAAACTAAGGATTTGAACTGTTATAAAAACTGTTAAACATACCTAAAAGTTCTGATTCTGTTACTGATTTCATTTTGAGTATCATAAATATATAACTGGGAAAATTTTGGCCTCAAATCATCTTCTGGCAGTAGACTGCCCATTAGATGGCTATTATGACCTTACATTTTAAATACATAGGGTCCACGACCATTATTTATTGAGTACAATGTTACCACCCATAGATGTAAAGGCAAACATATTATTATATGCTTGGATGTTCTCCAAAAAATTTTTACTCTTTGCATTATTTGACATAAACAACTCCTTAAGCTAAGCAGGGGGTTCCTACAATAGGGGTAGATGTATTTTGCCTTGCATGCAACAAATTGAGAATTTAGGTTGTAACGGTTTTCGTTGTTTGTTGACCCTTTTTTCGTACCACATATTAGCGTTGTAGAATTCACATACATATATTGGATCTCCTAAATCATGATATTCTACAGGATTTAACAAATATGTTAGTAATATATGTGATAGTTTCCTGTTAAACCATATAAATTAATGTACTTAACTGAGGTTTGCCGTTAACTAAAGATAATACCTGTATTTATGTATGATAAGTTCTTCTGATTAATTTTACATTTTCCAGGACGCAATGTATTCTTCCTCCTTGTGGAAACGCTTTTTTTGTAGAGCTTGTTGATTTTCATTGAAGATGACGTCAGCTGCAATTGTGAGTCCTGCATACTCAGTATTTCCGAAACAGCAAATTTAAAGGTATGTCATCATTATAAACTATATAATTACACAACTCATAAAAAAATTTTCTTGTAGACATACCAGATGAATTTGTTTCATTTGTACAATTTGTTGTTTGCAATTTATTCATCTGAAAACTGAGTTGAGTACTCTATCTGTAATTTGAACGGACTTGTGAAGTATCATTGACTGATAAATTGTTTGTTATCTGAGATGAATCACATATAATAACACCACCCCTAATAATAACAAATTGCTTTTCTTTAATGGGTTTGACTCTCTTTTTGTCCATTATTTCCTTCCTGTTAGATCTTAAGTTGTTAACAGTTCCTAACTAATCATGAAGACAGAGATGTAATGTATTCAGATAATTTAGAAAAAAGAGAAAAATATATGTATGAAATTATATGAAACTGACACAGATATAATTATCTGCACATTTATATATGAAAACATACCATCTGATATAGAACAATTTGATGGTGTTATCGAATTCTGAACAACAGCTGACTGAAATTTCAACTTCTTATGCGTTCTGATCTGGTATAATTTGTTTTTTCTTATCATCCTTGAATGTTTAGCACTGATACGGTCCACTTTGGGTATATTTACCGAATGTTTTTTACGTTGTACCGTATCTGAATGCATACCTCCATCTAACTGACCTTTCAAAATCTATTTCCTGGTAAATCTTGCATCCTTACCATTGACAGCATCATTGATTTGAACTGTAGAAATCACCACTGTTTGCTTATTTCTTCTGCGTGACTGAAGCGACAACCTTTTTGCTTTTAATAAATCTTTCCTGAACAATCTTGCTTCTTTTGCAGAAGAATTTACCATTATGAAATTTTCTGAAAGCAGATGTAAAAGTAATTCACAAAGCTCTTTGATTCAAAACATAATAGTATAATAATGATTGTAAATGTACTTGTGAAATAGTATCTTTAAGTTTTGATAAAATTTGATCTATATATGGCTAAAATTTTTGTGTTTATCAAATATATATGATTGATTATAATATTGTCATCCTAGAAAAGTGGGATCTGATATACTTGTTCAATTATGGCATATCAATTTGTTTTTATTTTATATCCAAAATAATTTCCTACTGTACATCTGTATTCTTTTTAAAAAATACTTTGATTTTTTTTGAATATTGATTTTCTTATTTTGATAATTTTTTTAACTCAATTTGATTACTGGTTTACTCACAGTCTTATTTTCTTTAACTGTCATAGTAAATAATTGACTAAAATACGTTGTTAGTGTATAATCCAATTGAAAATGCTGTGGATAATTTTTACACGTTGTTCGTGTATATAAAATAAAATATACACGTAAAGAAAATATGTTATAAAAAAACTTAAAAATTACATTATTTTCATCTGAATTAAATAAAAAATACTAGATAGTGACTTTTACAGGATTTCTATAATCAGATACTCTTTATTACATGCCTTGCGAGCATCTATACGGAACCCTAAAGTTATACCTAAAGATATTTTCTTCAAATCCACCATGTACTTTATATCACCTTCAATAACAAACTGATGTGGATTGTCGTTAGTGACAGCTCGATGCATGTTAATTACTGGAACTCCATTATAGTATAAAATGGCATTTGTGTAGTCATCTAACTTCAATCGGCGTACTATATGCCAGGGTATCTCCTGCAATATGATTAACAAATTGTTTATAATTGAATAATTAATTCGAATTCCTATTGGATGTAAACTACTATCAAACACATTTTATTACCAATCTGCCATGGTGGATTACAGTGTCAGTCATGACTGCAGAAAATGTGTTAGGATCACCGTTGCTACATAGATAGTCCACTGTGTCAACTTCACCTGAATATAAATTAATATTAGTATTAGAATATGTATTATGATAATAATGTTAGTTGAATTCAGATAATTAATTATAAGAAAAACAGTACGTACAAACCTTCGGATGTATCTGAATCAACAATATATAGGTTGCAGCAGTAACCTTCATTGTTGAAAAGCCTTAAATGGAAATACAAATTTCCAGTGTAAATAACAATTACATTCACACATTTTATTCTGTTATAATAATAGTCATGAAACTCCTCCCACGCCCGGCCTTCAAAACCTACTGGTTCATTATTTTCCTTCATGATCATGAACTCCCATTGATTGCGCTTAACATCAACACACTTTGCTGTAGTTTGATTTGAAGGCCAATCAATACCATTAAAGAAACATTTTTTAATAGCTTGAAAACCATAAAATCCCATTGATTAATCCAGTTATGTGTATTATTAAATAGTTCTTTAGTGTAAAGTACTAAGATAAATAAAAAAAAAACAAAGGAATTATAAAAGTTAATAACACTTATAACTTACAGCTTGTTTGGATGTACCATGATCTAATCTCAATAGATAGCGGTTACCAGTTCGTGTATTGACATCTGGGTGGATCCTTTCACATCCATCATAATTAAAATAAAATAACTGTAACACATTCAGGGATCTGTGATAAACAAAGTTAATTTTGGATCTGGAAGATACACCAAACTCCTGGAAAAAAGTTTCCATATCAGATCCAGATAACTGACATCTCCTCTTCCTAGTGATATGGATATTTGAATAGAAATATCGATTTCCCTGGAAATCAATCTCGATCTATTTACCAACATGCCTCAGGGCTGAAGTTAAGTTACTGCTAAGAATTTAATAATTTACATAAATCTGGTTGTCAGTAAGGAATTTTTATAATCGATCCGAATACAATTAGAAAATTATAAAGGACTTACCAATCCTCTTCTGCAAATGTTTGTTGGAACACTAATCAATTGATCATAAGCCTCTTCCATTGTTTACTTTAATGCAGTCTGTATGGTGATCTCAGAGTCCATATGCTATATGAATATAAAAAAGGCGTATGGAGTATGTTTTTTTTGTTCTGGAAATTTGATCTGTAATGATGATTTGACAGGAAAAGTGTGTATATATATATATATTATCTCCTCTTTGTTACAATTGAAGATAACCCTTAAAAAAATGGGATTTAAAAGAATCAGGAAAGTTATAAAGAATAATAATATGCTCTGTAGGTAGCATCGTTTCAAATCCACAAAAAAATAGGATTACAATGAATCTCCACTTTTTTAGGACCTGGAAAACTATTGTATTTTTTTTTCATTTAAACTCTCCAAGTAAAACAAAATACAAAGACTTTTACTAAAACAGTAATTAATGTCTGATAATTCAACGTTAAAATGAAAATTATTTCTGTTCCTATAAAAATAAAAGTAAATTGCAAATTCACTGTGATTTCATCATCATCTTCTCCTTTCTTCTATGTGCTTTCATTTCTTTAAATTCTGAATTCAATGGTAGCAACCAACGAACACCCCTTCTTCTTCAAACCATTTTCTGTATTTTAAAGCCCAAACATAACCTGGTTATGGAAGTTTGAAGTAAAGACCATCTAAGGAGCCGAAATTAGGAGAACAAAAGCAAACACTCCACAAGGTAAATTGCAATCCTTTTAACTTAGATTCAATTCACCTTTTCCTGGGATTTCATGGTCTTAAAATCACTTAAGAGCACTTGGATAATGCTGGGAAGAACAGTGAACTTCAATTATCCAGAGATTGTTTATTTTATGGGGAATTAACCGGACGTTGTTGAAGATATGCTTGATGTTGTGATTTCTTCTTTCTTTCTTTGTTCCTGACCCAAGGGAAAACATTCTGTGAGGATAACAAAGAAGTTTTTTGACATAAAGAACTCTGGAAAATTATACTATAATGAAAATATATGATTCTCAAAGTTATACTTTTGTATCTGATTGTTATTGAAAAATTATGAGACTCCAGTGTGAAGGTATCTTTTTATATAACTATATATATGGAAGTTATACAAAGCATCTGTTTTAATGTTTTAAATTAAGCTATTTCAGTTAACAAGCTACAATATTTATCTCTCAACTATACTATTCTTTTATAGTAGTACACTTCATAGGTTATAAATCTTATGACTGCATATTCACACAGGAATCTTTTCACCTTCCTGTTTGTATTTCATAAACTACTACTCAAAAGTTAACTTATTGTTTATAAAAGCAACTACAAAAATAAATGTACTTCTTCTGAAGATGTCATATTCTAGCAATCACATTTATAAAAATCTTTAACACATCAATAAAAATAAAATGTCATTAAACCAGATAATAATAGATATTAATCAGGAAAAAAATAGAATCCTCAAATACCAAAAGATATTAAATATCCAAAGCACCAAAAAAGTATAACGGTACTGGGAAGACTGTAAAAATAACAATGTTTCATCAGAATAACAATTCTGGCTATAGGGAACACCTTAAAAAAATAAAGTGTATTTTTATTGTTGAAGCAGGAAATAGCAAGTGCTTTCATCGACATCAAAGTTTTCTGACACGTTTGTTGGGATTGGATTTGACACTGACTTCACCGCAACTTCCTGCACTTTTATTTTTTGTAGGAGGACTGTCAGCCATGTCATCGGCCAAATTCCCTATCTCTGTATCTCCAGTGCAGGATACTGCAGTCTGCAAACAATGAAACATGCAAGTGTCATCCAAATATTGCTATTTTAAATAAAGTAAATATATTTGTTTAGTATATTATTCCTTGGCGGTGCTATCCTGAGTAGGTGTCAAATTTTGGTAAAACTCTGCACACATCTCCGGATCAATTTCCTGTTTATAATATAGGAATAAACTTAGATTATCATGTGCATCTTCTTCAAATCAAGTACAAATCTATTAAACTGTATATGACCATATAAAAAAGTGAACAAACATGATCTTCAGAAACATTATCAATGTACTTCTTGATAATTTCTGCATCAATAGTAAGCCTAGCAACAGAAATCTCACTACTACTATTCCTGATATTGTATCTAGAGACATCCAACCTGAACAGACATTTCTTGCCAACAATCTCATCTAGTATTTTAGGGTAATCTTTTCCTGCCTGGATACATGATAAAAAAACATAAAAAAGTTTTAGTAATAAAATGTACACATTAAAAACAATGAATAAAACCTGTTCACGGAGTTTTTCTGCAGACTTATTGATAAAATTGTAAACCATCCTGTCCCAAAGGGTCAAAATTCTACTGCCAGTAGCATCCATTGCATACACTTGTAACTTGAACCTATTCATAAAATCATGGAGGAAAATAGTTTATAACAGAGTAACAAATTAAAAAGTTTGATAACAACATATTATTTAATATTGTAATTACAAAAATAGATTGTAAATTATTGAAACATACTTTGGACCAACAGCAGACACAGGGCCATGATTACCGAAAAACTATTTTTTCTCAAGACCAAATTTCTTGTTGTCAGTGGTATTTCTTCCTTTTGCTGATGGTAATAAGGGTACCTTTTCTTTTTCAATTTCCTCCACCTTCTTGTTGCAATCTCTGCAACCAATGTATGACCATTCATACTCTTTTGCTAAGCCTGTGATCTTGCCAAAAATCACAACATACCCTACCTGAAAAAATATAGTTTTCATATGTTTATACATTCATACATCATGGAGATAACATAGTTATGTATGCAAATGGTAAAATAATTATCACTATTAATATGTTACCTCATCAAGATCATCTATGTCACCCAATAACAAAAGTTTTGCTCCATTTATGAATTCTTCATAAGATGTGTATCCAGAACCGTGTAAAAGCATTGAAATTTTTTGGATACTTGCAGCTTTCATTTCATTGCCACTACTTCTGTATATATTGTTTCCAAATAATTACAATATGAATAAAACAGTAATTATGCAACTATATGGTATGTGAGACTTTTACCTTCAAGGTAAATGGAATTATATAGTGAGATTTCTGTTATGAAAATATATACAGTAATTATGCAATTATGCAACTACTGATGCAGAAACAGTAGTTATGAATAAAATAGTGATTATGCAACTATATGGTGATAATTATAGCAGTTAGTAAGAATAATTATACCTGTCTTTGTACTCTGATATGTCGGGTATTGCCATATCATCAAGATATATCTTCCCATTAAAAAGATTAGTAGTAACAGAAACTTTTGCTGTTACATAGTAAAAAAATTACATGAAGATTATAGCAATTTCAAAAACTTTAATTTAATATGAGTACATTCAGATACATATAAGTCACTAAAGAGTACTCACAGTAGTATTTTTTACACTTAACATATTGAACAATGAGAACCACAGGAGACGGAGGATTGTTAGACATGTATTTAGTGACTTGATAAGCATGTTCACCCCATAAAGTAACCTTTAGCTTGTCAGCCCTGCAAAACAAAAGACATTTTTGTAGTACCAATGTTTTAATTCCTACAGTATAATCCACTATGAATAATTACTGTGTAGACTGTAAAAAAAAAGTAATATTGACCTTTCATCTTTAAGCTCCACTGAAATCCTCTTCTTTCCATTTTCAACAATTGGATCGCTGTAAGCCATGATGTGGCCTATCAAATCTACATAGTTGAAAATATTTTAAACTTTTTATACAAATTTTATAAGGAAATTTCACCACAACTTTAAAATCATCTCACCAAAACAATAATCAAAGTTGGCAACAAAGTTTGTAACTTCTGCCAATGGTGTGAACTCAAACACATGATCTGGGATGTCAAAATCAAATGCAGCTTCAACATTTGTGTTTAACATGAACACAATTTTGTATTCGTGCTTAGCACACCTGAATCCCTCACTAATATTGAGACAACTGTCAAATCTTGATAATCGTCTAACACAACCTTCTTTGAAAGAATTTGCAAAATCTTTCACAATTCTTCCGGGAATGGTTGCTTGAATTTTGCTTCCCTGATAAATATATACAAATAGGTAATAACATATACTACAGTTTAATAATTGTGCATGAGAAAACTCTAAAACCAATTACGGTGGAAAAGTGAATACCTGAGCATCGATCAAACACATCTCAACAGAGTTGACTTTATTTTTTTTGGATACTTCTGGAACCTCCCAAAGTGTCATCACTTTGACAACTATGGTGAAATGGTTGCTTTTTGTATCAATCAATCCATTGATGTCAACGATGTATCTTTGTGCAGCAAGTATGGGAATACCTGTAACACCAACATCATTTGGTGGTGTAGCAATGACATCTTCAGATGGGATGACAATTGGATTATCCACAGCATTTTCATTCACAGTTTCAACAAAACCTTCAGGTTCAACAACTGAAATTGTAGTTTGGTTTGTTTCAGCCATTAGTAAGATATGGGTAATATGAGAATCTGAAAATCTTGTTTTTGCGAATTGCAGGAATGGTCTGGTGCAGGATATGTGAGGATGTTACCTGTATAAATACAGGTAACATATTGTCTCATAGTATATTTGTGTAAATTAATTTGTGATAATAATGGTTACAGAAAGCCAAATATTTTGAGATTTGTTCTGTGATTGGAAAGTGATTGTTGATATGCACAGAAAGCTTGCAGATATATATATTTGTGCAAAACAAATCTGGTTATTGCGAATTGGAGGAATGGTCTGGTGTAGGATCATATGAGGATAATAGATGTATTTATGCAGGTAACATATTGGCTCATAGTATATTTGTGTAAATTAATTTGTGATGATAATGGTTACTGAAAGGCAAATATTTTGAGATTTGTTGTGTGCTTGGAAAGTGATTGATGATATGCACAGAAAGCTTGCAGATATACGTGTGTTTCAAATTTCAGTTGATTGGTTTTTTGATTTCCAGTATAATTTCTTTCATATGAATCCTTTTAGAGTTTTAAATGCATTACAATTTCTACAAGTTACTGTGAAAAATTAACTGATATGGTGATTTTCTACACACAATGTGCATGTAAGCAAATTCTGTTCACTGATTATATTTTCCCATTGAATAAGGGATATGATGTGATCATTTCTTTTTTTAATACAGGAATTTAAGGCTGGAAAACGCGTTGACTATGCTCTCTGTATGATTACTGTGAAAAGAATAATACATGAAGTGGACAATCAAATCTGAAACTGTTTATCTTGACAATTTTTCTCGCTGGAATGGTGGAAATACAGTTTTAAGGAGCACATCTTAGTACCCCAATCCACCACTTTAGTTTCTTTAGGTTGAGTCTGTTTTTTATATTTATGGACTCTTTTTTGGAGTTCCTATTTTGTGATCGATACGTACTATTTAATTCAGTTACATAAACCAGTTTTACTACTGTTTTATAGGAAAATTTAAACAACACTTATTGCCAGACATAAATAATTAGTTTCTTCCCTAAAATAAAGATTTTCAAATTTAAATATTTAAATTTAATTTGTTCATTTGAAAATGGAATCACAACGGAAATTTTCCGCACATATATGAAGCTGCATATTCTCATTGATTCTGTTTTGTACTGAGAAGCGCTAAAAAGCTTTGGAGGGAAAATTTTAATTCTGAACCTGACACGTGTCCTTTGTGTTTGTTGCTTTAAATAAGTATATTATAGATATATCTTCTAATTATGGACAATCTAAAACTATGAATAAACTCTGAAAAGAAAAAAAGATGAAAAAAAGGAGTCACACACTTCGAGAAAATATTATTAAGAATTTAAAAATGCCAAGAGCTGGTGCTGGAAGTCTGGAACTCGTCATTCTTAAATTGTGATTAGTCATCAATGAAGTCAATTATAAATATGAATGACATGTAATGATCTAACTAAAGACATCATCATATACGTATATATGATAACGACTCGAGAATATTCCCGTTGGAGGTTATCCTAAGTTCCAAGTTTTATTAATCAGAAAAATTTGGCTCCACTATTAGCGATCATTTTTAAAATTTAATGAAGACTGAAAGTCTTTTCTTTTTTCATAGTTTGAAGTTTGAACTAAAAAAACTTTAAAAACTACTAGGATGTATAAATCAATAAACTCGGAAAATAGACATTTTTTTTTTCCGTTGGATGATCATTGATCATTAATAAAGCTTTGTCTAAATAACAAGACTAAGATGAAAACTTGCATTTCTTGATATTGTAATTGATGGAGGTCAAATTCTCCACCAACAATTATCAGAGGATTATCAGCTTTTCCCGCCAAACCAAGATCGTTAGTATAAGTCCCGGCTTGAGCCCTAGACAAACACTCCGATACTTAAATTAGAAAGTAGATGAGAGAATGAGATAGTTAAGAGAAGTAATAATACTGTAATTCTAACCTTGGAGGCCATATATATATATATATATATATATATATATATATATATATATATATATATATATATAGCAGAATAAGGATCAAGATCAAAGGTCCAGATCGTTCAGGGAGCATGTGACATTGGGATCCAAGCTCCTTTTGTCTGGTCTGTTGTCTTTTTCCAGCAGGCCTTGTTTTTTATAATCTGCCACCTTTATCTTCTTTACCAGAAATGGCTATGAAAGTTCAAATAGGTCAGCACAACACTTTTCCTTTGATAGCTATAAGTGGTAAATGCGAGCCCCAGTATATCAAGTGAATGACCTACTTTTGGATCCACTTCGCATATGGATGGCCCGACTCCTTATAATAAGTTGATCCTGGTCTTATTTTGATTGGGTCCCACCAGTAATTCACTAATTCAGGTTAAATTTGAACTGAACTGGACCCTAACTTATATAATAACATCATAATTTAACGCTTTTAAGATGAATATCGGGATCCAATAATCGTTTTGGGGTGACAAAAATAACCATTAACATGTAGTCACATGGATAGCTTGCAAGTTACATTCTTTCAATTGCAAAATCTGGAGGATGCATCGATGAATTTTTTAAAGAAGCATACTCATCGGAAAGAGCACAATCCATTTGTGTTTTTATGTCGCCTAAAAGAGAACAATGAACACATGGAACACATGGGTTTCCTATGGTTGATTAGAGATTCTTGACGTTTGAGAAAAGTGGAGCCAATCTTAGCCTGATCGATGATTTTATAAAACTATGAGATGTTTTGAGAATGAAGTAAGCGCCTAGTGATACATATAAGGAAAAATTATAAATAAAATTAACAAGAAATGATTTGTCAATCATCTAAATTATGCCTTAACTTTAAATACTTAAATCCCAAATGAAAAGTGTTAAAAATAAATAGTTATGATCAATTTTTTATCGTTTTTCCTTGTCAATTTTTTCATATAATTATCATTATTCAAATAATAATTACACTTAACTGGAGTGCTTCCTTATAAATAACCATCTTGAAGACCATGTTTATGAATACCGAATGTTTTACCATATTGGCCCAAGTAGTGTTGCTCATCAATGTGTAAATTTCTACAGTAGAAAAAAGTAATAAAATAAAAATAATCATATGTTAAAATTTAGAAGTACGACCACCCGCAAAATATTTTTCCGATTAATAGTAGTGTCAAACTGAAATTGTACATGTAAAAACTAAATACTTTTATTTGGTACGAAGGGAGTATATGAATGCGCTTTCACGTGGCATGTGACATTGCAATACTATTTATTATCTAAAGGATGTCACTTTGAAGACATTAGATACACCAACTAAATTACCACCACATCCATTATACAAGTGTAAGCCATACGTAGTTGACAACAATACCACACGAAAAGAAGATAAGATGCAGCATCTCAACTAGTAGTATACAGATCAGTTCCTAACAAAGTGGCAAAGTAGGTTTTTTTTTTTTTAAACTTTTTTTTTAAGAAATCAATAATGATTCTCTACTTATTCGGAGGTAACTTAAACCCGTGACCTATTGTCTACAGGTGAGGCGTAGAAAAGAGTTCTAAAGGAATATGTCAAATTACGATTACCTTTGGGTAATAAATAGTATTGCAATGTCAATAATTACGATTATCTTTTTTTGTACTTTTAGCCTCTGGAAATAAGAATTCTAGATGAATGAACATTCTAGTAAAATTTGCTAAAGATATACATTTAGGAATGAGTAATATTAGGGTTCTTGTTTCTCCATTAAGATCATCATCAACAAATTTTATTCTACCATGTGAAGAATAACACCAAGCTACATTTATAATACACCAACGAAGAAGATCAATGACACTTTAGTTAATGGGTTGTTTTTGCTTTCAAAGTCTTGAATCTATAGAAGTCCAAGAGTTTTCAGCTGCTGAACATGCTCAGGTGGGATTGGTGGGGGTGACCAATCAGATCCTGTCATCTCACCATCAACATCTTCGACGACATATTCCTAGATTAACAAGCAAACAGAAGCATAAGTTACAAGATTCAGAATAAGGAAATAGGGTGCACACAAGTATAATCAAGCTAAAAAGCTTGGTTATTTTTCTGGGAGTAAGTCCAAGAACAAGTCATTTGCAGAACATGATGAATCCAAACCAGATAAACTTCTCTGTACTTCCTAGCTAATTCAGACTCTACAACATAGTAACTCAATGAAAACAGGAAGACACCACAACATAGAAACTATGTACTTCAAATGTGAACACTAGACCACTTATTTCTGAATGTTAAACAGTTTCGAGAATACTTAAGAGTGGATACAAAGTGTCAAATCCAAATCAGCAATAAGGGAATCAAAGTCAAATCTCCTAAAATTTGAAAAGTTAAATACATGAACAGAGTAGAGAAGAAGAGGAGAGAGATATGTTAAATTAAAAGATAATCGTAATTTCTGAATGTAAAGAGTTTCGAGAATACTTAAGAGTGGATAAAAAGTGTCAAATCCAAAACAGCAATAAGGAAATCAAAGTCAAATCTCCTAAAATTTGAAAAGTTAACGGGATACATGAACAGACTAGAGAAGAAAAAGAGAGAGATATGTCAAATTAGAAGATAATCCTAAACTACTTTAACAAGAAATGAAAATCCTAAGCTGTTCCAAGATTTATTATAATGACATGGGAAGAATGATTGTTTCCTAAAATAATTAAGAAATAAAAACTTTGAACTTTATGTCTACACAACCATGTAAAAAAAAAAGGGTGAAACGATCAGAACCAAGCTGAAAAGAAATTTTCGAACTCACTTTTGTCAACATTCTTTTTGCGAGTATGTGGTAATGCCGCTGCCAAATTCTTTGTCCAACCATTGTTGCAACCAATACACTGTAGAATATGCCTATTACAGTGAAAAGCCCCAGTACAACTAAAGCCATTATCAACAACAACGGAAGCCCAGCTTCACCAGCACCTCCCAAGCAGCCACATTCAGTGCATGCACTAGCACCACTTTCAAAGCATGTAGTACAATCAGTCCACATACAAAGTGTGCCGGGTAAGTGACAGTCAGCACATACTCTGCAAGAACAAGTACATAGTAAGATGGTTCACATATACATATATAGAAGAACTTTTTCTCATTTGGTACAATCACAAAGAGACAATCCACAGCCAACATTTAACACTTAATTTTATAATGATCTCAGGAGGACTGGGGAGATGTTAGACTAAAGTTACATAAGAAGTGATACCCAGGATGACAGCAACAGATACATAATTCTCGGCATGGCTGGGCAAGGTCATTGCGTACTCTTCGATCATAACATGTTATAAAGCATCCAGATAGTCCAAGTAATGCAAAGAAAAAAAGTGCCCCTGCACAACAATATAAGAGAGTTAGTCGAACTGTTTATAGATCAATCAAACATCATCTGATGATGCCATACTAGAGCAGAGAATTTGAAATGATAAATGTTTTAGGCATGCAATCTCATTTACACAACACTAGTATAGGAACACCACTTCCAAGGTTGACAAACGCAAGAAGGCACAGTTGATTTTACTAAAGCTCCAGGGCATATTTAGAGCAAGAGCGTTGAAAATGACTTTCTATTTAGTATATTAAAATATCATGTTGCAGTAACAGCTTTTGCAAACATTCAATTGCAGCTGATGCTTACTGTTTCCACATAGAATAACATAGAACAGAGTAATTGAAGCATCCATATCACCAAACTGCAAATAATGGCTTAATATATGAAATTTGGGACTTAGATGAGATAATCAAATACAAAGTATATAAAAGTTCACATTCAAACAATGAAATTGTACTTAAACATTTGATTCACTTCAGAAGAACACATGGCAACAAAGCGTGTTGAATTTTATTTCCCGTACCGTAAGCTCACCCTGCCAAAGAAGCAGAGCTGCAGACCAAGCTTGATTGGCCGATACAAATATACCATGGTGCCAGGAATGAATGTCTAGCACATGAAAAACTGATAAATACGTCCAATCCCTTAATTAATGAATCCCAAAATTGAAAATCCCCTCCACTAAGCTACATTCACTAAAGACTCATTTTCTTAATCTAAACCAGCACTACTCATTTATCACCAGGGCACAAACTTCATTCCAGCCCAAACCATTTTCAAACATATAATGCCACTAAGTAATTTCATGTTCATCCATTCATAAAGTTCAAATAACTAAGACAAAAGATACATCACATAAGCATAAGTTCCATCAAAATCCTTCGGGGAAGCAAATGAGGACCGTGAGGATATGCGTCGGATCACTTATAAACCGGGAAGTGCAAGTACTATTCGTATAGAACAACAATCAGACTCAAGAAAGCTCCCTGCGTTTGGCCTTGGTTTGCTCATCGACAGCAAATACATTATATTTCAGCGTTCAAATTTTAAGCTGAAAATGGAAAGAATCTTAAGAAGTTTCGCACCATCACTTTTAACTCTCTTTTTATGTATTTTGAAATTGGGGCTTGTCAACTCAGATATCATCTACGTTACATAGATCTGGATACAGAGGCTTTGAAGATATATGCCTGAAGTTCCGGTATAGATTGGTAAAAACCCTCAGGTCTCTCGAGATGAGCAAATGTGAGTGTAGCTTCTCTGAGATGACCACAATAAACTCCTAGTGAAGGTGTTCATGTGCGACAACCCTGACGGTTCTAACATGCACTCCCCCTCTCTCTACATATATATAGATATATATATATATATATATGTATGATTTAGTTGTATTTTAATAGAAAACCATTGAACTCATGCTAAGTCTATTTCCTAGACGGTACAAAAATAAAACAGTTAGGAAGCAGTTCAACAGAACTCCTAACAATCCAAAAAATGGAGGTCGCATGTCTTCTGATAGCTTCTCACAACTGATGGTAGAACTCATCGTTTACTCGAGGATGAAACAGGAGTTTAGAAACAGTAGAACAACACAATCTCCTTCATTTCATTATTTGTTGGTTTATCTTTAACGCACACAATCAAGAATCATGTCCGGATGGCTTCTATCCCATTTGCACAAGCAAAAAACTTGAGACTACCATTTCATAAGCAGTCGACTATCAAGAGTTGCAAAAGCAGGATTCTTCTTCTATCTGAAATAACCTCCACTGCCTGAATATCACCGTTGTTGTAGTCAATACAGTATATCTTCCACAGTGAAATTCTTGCATGATGGTGTTTCCTATCGCAAGACCCCATAAAATTACCAACTAACCCTTATCAACTTCCATTCCTTTCATATCCTCATCACCAATTACAATCTGACAATTTTTCCAAGGAGAAAACAACACCTTTCAACTAATCAGTTGACACTCGTTAGCTCAACGTTATGAGGGGACCACTAATCATACTATACCACTTTAACTAGTGGATAGTGGCAACAAGATTCTTTTGCCACAAAAAATGCGGTAGTCCTAGTTATACTTCACAAAAAAGTTCCTCAACATTGCAAGGGACTGCTACCCATGTACTTCACTTTAACAATATCAGTGCAGTGACACATTTGGACGAAGAAATGCAGAAGTGTTACATTTTACAAGGGACTATTTCATTTTAACAATACACAAAATTAATGGTCAACAACTAGAAACTGCTGACTAACGAAAGAAATCCCAATGAAGCTGACTAAAAGCTCTCAAGAAAGGTAGGTATGCAGTATCTAACATATGAGCTTTTGCATGAAAGCAAATTTCATTAACCAATTGAAGGCCAAGGATTTTTCCTCCCTTCTACCAGCACATCTTTACAGACATGGCAACTTGTTATAAAAACAATATCAAAACGAGAACTACGTGGAAGGGAAGCACACAACGACATGAAGAACATAAACCATGTACCGCTTTAAGACAAATGCCATTTCCACAACCCCCATCATAAGATAGAAACAATGATGAAGACGCCAAATTGGGGAGGACAAAATAGATGACACAATCAGTTGGAAGAATTGAATGGCTACAACATCTAGGAAATTCAAGCGATCATCCACGAAATGATAATTATAATCACCTAACAGGTAAAATGCTTCTGGAAAGGACCCTAGCAGAACCAATCAAAGGTAGCCAATTGAACTGGAACCAAAAAGAGAGGCATACATAAAAGTACATTCTATATAGACATAGACCAAGGTTAACATCTTATCACTCCTGGAAAACAAAATGAACAATTGGTTCCAGTTTCCTCCAAACCGAATGCCTTCAAAAGGCATCTATCCTAATTGAATCAATTAAATACGAAAAGAGAAATAAGATTATGTGACTTACCACATATATAATAGAAACTAAGTTCACTATCGAATCCCCAGGATAGACGTAGCCAGAACTGCTGGTAGCGATCAACCAAATACACCAAGTATGCCAATGAAGAAATTACCTGTGACAAGGAACATCAAGTGAAAGTTTTCCTAATCACACACCATCAGATAATGGGATAGAAAGCAGAAAATTAATAGAGGCGAAATACCAACCAGCTGCACAGCTAGGAAGATGAACAAAATGTCTCTAGTGACAAAAAAGCGAAACTTCAACGTCCGCCATCTTCTATCAGCAACACCATGAACTCTCAAATGGTACTGAGCCTTGCAAGTTGTGCAATGGGCAAATGCAAAACCTTCCTGGGAGTTATGTTGAACAAAGGAAATTTCTAATTGAGCCATAGGAAGTCTAGTGAAAATTATAAGCATTTAAGGTTTTAGCAAAAAGTCATCTGCCATTGCTTCGACTTTCACCTTTTAATGACAGGTTTTCTTCAAATGAACACTGTACACAATAGAATATCTAGAGCAGAATATGATAAAAAGAGAAAGAAGATAATGCCAATTTATATTTCAATCACACCAAGATAACAGCACCAACCAACACCTCTTTTTGGATGAGTATTAATTTAGTCTCGGTCAAGAGGGGGGAAGTATTGATAAGTAATTGGCATTTTGTCACGTACCCTTATGGTGAAGTCTAAACACAACCATCATGCCCTACAAAACTCAGATACTTTAAATCCAGTACGCAATCATGAAAGTTCTCTGGGCTAATGATGGTAGTGGTGTCAATGTTGCAGCCTGCAAATACAGTGTATCCTAAGTATGGCTTTTTAGCAGGTTCAAACAGGCAACCCTTCAAAATAGATGGAAAAGACATGGGGGATAACAAGGCTTAATGAGGATAATTACTCAAAGCAAACTATAATCCATGGAAGAGAACAAATTAAAATCCTAAGAAATCATGACCTATCAGAGAAAAGGTGCTCTGCAAACTTGTGCTATTGTTTAAGCTTCTACGAAAAAAGATAACAAACACATGCATACCTTCACAGCCCGCCAGTGATCAAGGCATTCACGGTGAACGTACTTTGATGTACCTTTACACTTGCAAGGTGCAATGAAATCCCTACCTAAGAAAAAAAAACTACTTATTAAGAAATAAGAATGAATAATAAGTAATCTGACAAATGGAAGGAAAAACATCTCATCCGTAACAGATATAAACTCCATATGTGTATTAGACTTGACGAGAAACTACTTAAATCATAACAAATGATAAGAATCGATCCTGCCATAATGCTGCAGTTTTGAGAATGCAACATACTTCCAATTGAACTTCAAATTTTGGTTTCTTCGACACATAGATTGCACATATTTTCTTTAACCTCCGAACGGATAAGGACACTAAAAAGCATAGCAACAATCCGTGGAGTACAAAACTGGCATTTGTACAGTCGCATAGTTTACCATACGCAAAATTCACAACGAAGATTCTTCCTTTCCAACCATATTTCCCATAAAATTGCAAAACTAGCATCAAGAATGATAGAATTAATTATAAAGGAAGCAAATTTACACTGCTAAACTTAAACTGACAAACAAGGGATAACTTTCGTAATCATTTCCCAACACTAGAGATTTTTTACCCACCATGACAGAAAATGTCAACAATCCCAGAACTGAATTAAGTTTCAGACGAACGAATTCGAATCATTATCATTTGGTGCTTGAAAGTCAAGGTTGAAGTCAAAACTATAGCCCGGAAAAAAAAAACAGAAAACGGAAATTACCATCAGTCTCGAGGCAAATTCTGCATTGAATCTGATCACCTGGGCCAGCTTCGAGGTCGATTTCCGATGGCTCCTTGATGGGCACCGGAGCAACGATCAAAGGAGAAGACTCCGAGTGCTGATCAACCATCTCTGTTTCCTTTCTAATTTTTTTCTTTTTCTGGGATGATTAAAGTCAATATTGGTATCCAATAAAGAAAGAATTTGTGGGCTGATAATTAACTGTGTAAAGATCAATAATTGATTATCAACATTCAGGGAAAAAAATGCTGTTGTTGCGAATCTGGATGCAACCCACCAAAACCCTGAAGAAAAACTACTAATTTCCCTCTTCCATTCATTCAATTTGACAATTTTACCAACTTCTCACCGCTAAAAAAATTTCACACCTCCCCCATAAATTTACCTTAGGAGAGGTGTAAATTTTTGTCAGTAGAATGTGTGGGGGTTTAGATGATGATGCTAATGACACAGAAAAAGTAAAGGCGTTTAGGAAATGGACTAACCACTATTCTCTTGCCATATTTGTCGACGAGGGATCAGTATAAATTTCTTTTCTTCCTTCGGAAAGTCCTATACTATATGTTTGTTTTGTGTGTTTTTTTTTGTGTTTTTAGGTGTTTTTGTATTGAGAATGTAAAAAAAATATATTGTAAATATAGAAAATTATACTGGAATGGAATCGTTATTAATATATTAATTTAAAAAAACCATAAAAAAATGAAACAAACAAAGATTCGAGTGAAAAAGTATTATACACGGGGTATTTAAAATTATTAATTTGATTACATTGATAAATAGACTATTTCATAAGACAAAAGTCTCTAAATAACATTCGCCACACTTATGGTATATTCTTATATATTCTCGACGTCTCATAATTATTGTCTAGTTTGAGTTTTCATTTCTAGTTCAAATTATAATAAAAGTAAAATCTCAAATGGACAATAATTTTGGGACAGAGAGAGTACTAATTAAATTTCGTTTTGACCTCGGTGGAATGAAATTCCATGTACAATTTACACATTAGTCACCAAGTAGTATATATGGCAATTATTTTTGTACATTGATAAACAGATACATAGTATAGAGAAAATGAAGGGGCTAGTGTTTTTCAAATAATTGTGTGTGACACTGTGACTGACCATAGTTAAAGAGACTAAATAAATTTATGCCACCATAAAATTATTGTCTTATTATTTGGATTTTTTTTAGCATGCAATTTATATTATTAACGAAAATTCAAATGAGACAATTATTTTGGGTAGAGAGACTACTAATTTTACTAAAAATTATTTACAACTGATTGTAAATTTTAATACAAAAAAAACATATTTATTTTTATTTTAAAAAAACATATTAATCTATTTGGATAGATTTTATTTGGTTGAATTGTTGGTATATCATGACATTGTGACTTTTTTTAAAGTAAATTGTGAAATTCAAGCAAATTTCTGGTAAATCGCACAACACGGAGTGAGGTGCAAAGTCAAAAATAGTATTTTAATATTTTTCAAAGTCATGTTTAGCTTTGACATGTTGAGCTAAACAGTGAGAAACAACATTAAATTTTCGGCTAATCCATTTACAATCAAATTGGACCCTTTCTTGGAATTTCGGTTTTGTTTCAGCCACAATTAATCCCCAGCCTGAGAGGTCGATCTCTTCAGATTGTAGTCGATCCATTACTGCAGAAGAGTCGCTCGCAAGAGTGAAATGCGAGATTCCGATTTCAGCAGCTAATCTGACTGCTTCCCGTGCTGCAATGCTTTCTATCTCCGCTGGAGAGAATAGACCTGTGTATGTTCTTGCATAACAGCCAATGAAACCCGTTATGGAATTCAATATTAGAATGCCAGATGTCTGGAGATGTAGCTGCTTATTAATTGTTCCGTCGAAAAAGAGGCAGGTGCCATTCATGAAGTTCAAGGTGGTTTCTGGTCTCTTTTTTGCCTGCAACATTAGGAAGAGATGCAACTGGGATTCTCGCCATGATTCGAGTAGGGTAAGACTCATTTGCAGGATCGTTTTAGACTGATATTCATGGTTCTCGAACACAAGAGTATTCCTGGCTAACCATATATTGTAGCATATCGACGCGAAAAGAGGAAGAATGCTTGGTGGCTTGGTGGCTGGGCGTAGATCAGGTTGGTTAAATGGAGTCTGATATTGCTGCTAGCCAATCTGTATATTCAACTTTCAAGACCACTACTTTGCCAGACTTCTTTTGCTGTTCTGCAAGTGAAAAATACATGAGTCTGGTCTTCGGGTTCTCCACAATTTTTGCACTTCCCGTCAGTTTCAACTTTCCTTTGCAGCAGATTTCTTTGGGTAGCCAGTGTGTCCGTTAGCATTCAGAACAAGTGATGTTTCGCTTTTGGCGTGATGTTGATGTTCCAAAGCTTCCTCCATGTGGAGTTAGCATCCTGTGACAGTGAGCTTCTTGAGATCGAGTTGCTTTGGAATCATGGGTGAGATTGTAGCACTTTGTAGCAGCTTGAAACTATGTATTTACCATGCGTGGTATAATGCTACCTCCAGAAATCTTTTTCAACTGTTGAGCTCAGGGGGGTACTCTCTATCATGGGTGTTTCTTCCTGCCAGAAAAGATGGTTGAGGAGTCCATAGTTCCATGTTCCTGTTTGGTTATCGATCAGAGCATCGACTGTTTCTTTTCTGGCAAAAGGGCATCTAGGGCTGGTAATTTTAAACGAGAAGGGTTTTGGGATCCACGGATCATTCCAAATTTCAATTGATGCTCCTTTTCCAACTCTTTTCCGACAACCGCTTTGGAGCACGTTCCTTCCTTGGATTATGCTTTTCCAGCTGAAATATGGTCGTGTACGAAGTTTGGCTTTCATGAAATCATCATCTGGGAAGTAGCGAGCTTTCAAGACTTGATATAAGAGAGAGCGGTTGTTTGTTAATAGGCGGCATACTTGTTTGCCTAGAAGTGAGAGGTTGAAAAGTTTCAAATTCTTGAAACCTAAACCGCCTTCTTGTTTGGGTTTGCAGAGCGATTCCCAGGTGCACCAGTGTATTCGTCGTTTCTCTTTGGAGTCACCCCACCAGAAAGCAGCGAGCAAAGCATGGATTTCGTCGCATATGGTATCTGGGAGTTTAAAACAACTCATGGCGTATGTAGGTATAGATTGTGCCACCGATTTGATCAACACTTCCTTCCCTTCTTGAGAGAGACTCCTTTCCGCAAAACCCTCGAATCTGGCGCGCACTCGATCCTTGATGTCACCAAAGATCTCCTTTTTACAGCATCCCACCACAGATGGTAAATCAAGATATTTTCCGTGGGATTCCGTACGTTTAACTCCGAGTCTTGATGTTAGTTGGTTGACCACATCGTTTGGAGTGTTTGGGCTGAATAGAACTGCTAATTTTTCCAGGTTGATGAGTTGTCCCGGAACCGATTCGTGTAGATGGATTATTGCTGAAAATGCATCTATCTCTAAAGCAGTGGCTCCTCCACATAATAGTGTATCATCCGCGAAGAAGAGATGGGTGATGCTAGGTGCCATTGGTGCGACTTGAATGCCTTTTAGGTTTTCACATCTTTGAGCTTCCTGTATCATCAAAGGAAAAACTTCCGCGCAAATGATAAAAATGTAAGGGGATAATGGATCTCCTTGCCTTATACCTCGTTGCGGAGTTAGTGATCCGAATTCCTGTCCATCCAGCAAGAAAGAAAAGGTTGTGGAGGTGATGCATTTTTCGATTAATGATATGTAAGAGGGGCTGAATCCTAGGGCTTTCATTACTAGAAGGATAAATCTCCATTTTACCCTATCGAAGGCTTTGCTCATGTCTAGTTTTATCGAACATGAGACCTTCTTTTCCTCCAGTTTTTTTGCAAATCTCATGGTAGAGTTCTTGTGCAATTAAAATATTATCTGTGATTAATCTCCCTGGTACAAATACGGATTGTGTTTCAGAAATTACTTTAGGCAACATCGCCTTCATCCTATTTGCAAGGCATTTTGAGATAATTTTATAGACAACATTGCATAAAGAAATAGGCCTGAATTGAGAAATGAGTTTTGGAGATTTTATATTTGGAATCAAAAGTAAATGCGTACAATTTATTTTTGAATCGAAAGCACCATTATTTAGAAAATTTAAAATGTAGTGAGTAACGTCTTCACCAATGATTGGCCAAAATATTTGAAAAAACAAGGGAGGCATACCATCGGGGCCGGGGGACTTGGATGCATTTGATTCAAGGCTTTCTTGGTTTCTTGTGCTATGTAAGGTTGCTCAAGCCTCTGATTGGACTCTCTCAGCACTTTTGGTCTGACTAGAGATAAGACAAATTGCAAGTCATCTTTTAATCTCGAACAAATCACTAGGCTGTTTGTACTAGTCTGCAGCTTCACTCAGACATCTTTGCTAGAGCTTTTTGGTGGCAAATTCCACCTCCGATCTTCCAGCTTTATAATCACCCGAAAAAAAATCATGTTCAAATCTGCAGCATAATGGATCAGTATCATTTTCTTAGCGGAGAGGATGTACAGATTACAAATACATAAGTAATCAAAATCAATAGCCCAAGGCGCAATGCAGATACATATCAAGCTAAGCCAAAAATGATGATACATGTTCAAAGAAAGGCAGCTAAATGATTTATTTTTTAGTAAATACATTATGTATCCACACAATGTTTAACACAGAGCTGAAACTCTGATTTTTGTAGTAACTTTCTGAATCTCACCTACCCAAATCACTGCAGTTGATCAGCGGTCATATGGAGTGATTGACTTTGAATCTGAACAAATTTGACGATAGATGAGTTGGATTCTTAGATGTTCTTCACTTTGTCAACTCTCATCCTCATCAAATTCTCCTTCTTGTGGAATAGAAGAATATACATCAAAATTATTTGTTCAATCAGTCAGGGGAATGCAAGTTATTGATAAATCTTTTGCGAAAGAAAGCGCATCAAACCTTTTTCTAATCTTAGTTCTTTTCAAGCTCTTCCTTTTGCTCATGATTCAGTAGGATACTACAAACTCGATTAGTAAAGATGAGCAACATGTCGCAACTAACAGATTAGCTCCATATGTGGCAGTTTAAACAAATTCGGCAGTAATGTAACTAAGGCCGAACAAAATCTGTAGAAACATACAAAGCCAAATCCGTAGCCAAACAAAACAGAATAACAAAAGTAAGCCAACTGTGTAACCATGAGTATTAAAGGTCAATAAATCATTGAACTAATTCACTGCGCAAAATACTCGATCTCTCACTAAGGCATTCACTGGAACTTTCTGAAGCAGAGATGTACTACAACTTACGCACGCTTACGCGACTGAATTTCCATCCAAAATATGTCTTCCCTACTAAAAGAAAAGGGAGAATAAAGTGATTCATTCAAGAAGGCGAGAAGCAGAACAGATTAAGGTCAAAGCTTTCATCCACCCCTGAATGGTTCTATTTCATTCAACATCACTTTTGGAGTTTGGTCACAATCTTTAATAAGTAATGGAGAAATAATAAATGAAGTGAAAGATTGTGACCATACAGGAGGCAATGACATTCACTACACAAATTCCTGCACCCTAGTAACATTGGCTTACAACGGGGAACAAAAAAAAGCTCAAGCACTGTTTGTGGTCAAGAATCACATTTTTTGGAGGAAATTTTTGTCAGCATTATATACAATTTTCTTTCAAGAACAAAATGAATTTTTTTTTAAGGATGATCTATTATCATAATCAGATGGATTACTATTTAGCGAAAAATAAAAAAGGTGCTGTATAGCTGTTCTGGTCTTACTTTATACATATATAACTAACATAACTGATACCGTAAAAGACTAATCTACCCTAGACTGACCAACACTATACACGGTATTTAGCCAAAGGGCAATTCTGTACAGCTACACTGTTCAACATTATTCGCAGTATTTAACTATGGAACTATGTACACTAAACATATTCACATTATTTACATCAGTTCTAACAACCTCTGAATCATCCACTGATTCCTTCAAATCCCCTCCTCAACCACTCTTTCTAGCCAATTGGCTTGTTTTATTCAACAAAGAATTGAAATTGTTTTCCATGTAAGTTCAGGGGAACTTTTCTTTTTTTATGGCAATGTGACCTTTTTATCATGATATGTTAATACAACCAAGAAGTAACTCACAAAAATAACAATAATTGACAACAGCTGCAAATGGAAAAAAGGGAAAAATCCGCCTAGAGCTAAACTGGCTTATCTGAATGAACAATTAAAAGTTTTTAGAAACTTTATTCTCAAAGAAGAAAAAGATGTTACTTTTGTGTTTCCGAGATTTCGCCGTACAGGTGGTGATGATCATGGCAGCTAAAGACAATGATAGATATCTCGAAACTTTATTCTTCACAAATTAATTTTGTAGCAGATTTTAATATGGTTTCACTTGGATCTCCAAAACCTTGGCATTTCAAAAATATACAAAAATACTCTCTTTGTGTGAAAATGATTAGAGGATTTGTACTCAAATGAAAAATTCAAATTGGACCATTATTTTTGTTAGAGCAGAGGAATATGAATTTCAGTTCAGATTTCTCCATTTAAACTTCTTTTTCTTTGTTTCTAGTTTTCGATGATAAATAGATGCTGCCCCGTGCGGCAGAAATATCGCAATTTAAATAAGTATAATGAAATAAACAAATGTTTGAAAAAATGTATAAAATACAGATTTCAAACATCGTTAATCATGAATCAATTAGTGTTCAACAAATGCAATTAGCGTTCAAATAATGTAGTACATAAGGAATAGAGTAATATTTAAATAAATTGTGTGACTTTATTTGGACACCAAATTAAAAAATTATTAGAAAAAGAACTTTTTAAATTTGAATTACATATACCATAAATTTGAACACTTTTTTGTAACAACATTTATAGTTTATTTCTCACATCACCGTTTTGATCACATAGTATTAGTTTAATTCATTGTATTGAAATAACCAATTCATGACCGAATACGGAACGTGATACATATAATCTAACTCGGAGTGGACCTTACTTTCATTTATCATCATTGATAAACAAATGACAAAAAAACTTGTCTTTATTTTGTACTGAACCGTAATTTCAAATTTTATTTCACTTTTATATAATGTTCAACTATACAGTTAGACCATTTTTTTATGGAGATATCTTTTTAATTCCTTCAGCCCCGCGCTAAAATTCTCCCATCTGCTCATTACTTGAAGATCTTTACCAATCTATTGCCATGGGCTATAACCATTATCCTCTTCGACGGGTGATTCTTGAAATTTGTAAGTCAAGTGGTAATTGAGGTGAAAACACTAAAATAACCTTCTCACGCCTTTGGGGAAAAAAAAAATTTACCTCTCATTCCCTTCTTCCTTTGTTTGCTTTTAGTTTAAAGTACTAATCTTGAGTGACCTGAAATCATGGTAGATTAATGCAAACTGTAAAAGTTTTTTCTTAAAAATACAAAAATCAATGAAATCAAGTTACCATCTAAAGATATTTCTAATTAATTATGTCATAGAGAAAATTAGCAACAATAATAGATCTACACTTTTAAGGAGAAAGTTTGTGTAAATTAGTATGTGATAAAAAAGAAAAAATTAAAATCAAATCTTGAAGAAAAAATGCAACATTCAATCCAAATAACCTACCCAATTCTAAGTATGATAATGTACTGCACAAACACAAACTAATGGAGGAACAAAAGGGATATTAAACTATAACATAGTCATGTCTGGAAACCGAGAGTGTATTCTGAAAGCCCCTCTATTGAAAATTTTAACCTGCGAAAAAAGAAGAAAAATGAAAATTTCAATCCAGACTATATTAATTAAAAGAATGAAACGAAATAGGGAAATACTACTACATTTAATTGAATTGATCATATTGAGACCTTCTATGCTACTGAAATAAAAAACAAGCTGGAAGAAGAAAAGAGAAAAAAATGATGATAAAAATGAAACATAATCACTCCGAGTGTTTGCATACTTTTATAAATCTTTTTCATCAATAATTCAAATCCCCAAAATTTCTCAAAAGATAAGGAATACAAATCTCTCATGAGAATCTATTTGAAATTCTATCTGTTGTATCTCTCTCATTAGTTCAATATATTTATTTTAATATCCCAATATTAAGTAAATTTTGAGATATATAAGAGAGATTTTAGGGATTACATTTCATAGTTACCAACATCCATCTTTTATTCAATTTTCAAAATTAAATTTTAACCGAAGATATAATGTTTTTTTTTTCTTTTTTAATAAATAAAAAATGAAGAAAATTACCAGTCCTATGTGTTAAGTGGAAAACTATCCCAGTTTCCTCTCAGTTTTCTATTATTATATTATATAAATAAGCAAGAGAAAGACTTTGTCCAAGAATTTTCTTTTTTTAAAAAAGTAAGAGAAACTGCAAAATATTTTAAAATTTCGATCGTAATATGTAATGCTAGCTAGTTTTACATTGCCACTTCTTAAAACCAGTCAGAATCTTTCAATTCAATTCACACGGTGATAACTGTCTTTAACTAGTTAATATTACTGGATAAACAAAAATGTTTAAACTGCCTTCATGATCATTCCTAGGATTTTTTTTTTTTTTTTTTTCTCTAACACCAGAATACCATCAAAGATAGATAAAACCAGGCCCACTTTAATATACCCAAACTACATTGTGAGGTAAACTAGTCTGAGTCGGTGACAACCTAATATAGCTTGAGTTTAATACGATGGAAAAAGTTTTTAATGCATTATTATTAATTTAATACTAATTATGCTTGAAAAAAGTAGTTCACATTGAATTTTTAGAATCGTGTCACAAAAATAGCTTATATACTATATTAAATTTTGAGTAAAAAATCTCAAAACTCAATGTTTACTAATTTTTTGGGATAGAGCGGTAGGTTTCCAAGTGGTGCTTATCTCTAAGAACCTTAGCCAGTTAGCCCACTCTATTATTCTTAAATGAGAAAGTCTGTTTTTTGTAGTCAAAGTTCGAGAAGAAAGGGAACTTCATTTGGGTAGTAATGTGGTTTTTCCTCGAAATTGTCTAATATATATGTTTCACAATATATTTTTCTTCCACCTCCTACGTATTAGTTTTGTTAGACTAATACACAATGTACGAATTTAAGTAAATTGATAACTTTCGTAAAATTAACATTGTTGCATTTAATCAAGAAAAATATAAAGAGATGTGCGTACGGCAGGGGAAAGATTTTACAAGACAGAAATGAAGGGGGAAAAAAGTGTTCCACAAAAAAGTCCATAAATTATCGTCAACGTTGAATTTTGTTGTCCTCTGTAAGAAATCTTAAATGAGTAAGTTATCCCTCAAAAAGAACTTAGAGTAAGCTACAAGTTGAAGCTGTTAGTTGCAATATTTGAATTTGCCACCCGGAATTTACAACTGTTGCAACTTGAAAAAAGAAAAAAAAAAAAAACCTATGATGTTTATGAGTTAACTTAACTAGCAAGGTGGTCCAATATTTAACCTTCTCCAGAAGGGAAAAAAGAACAGCTAATGAAATGAATCGTTTTACTGAAAAACAGCGAGTGAAATTATTTCTCTTAACGAAACAGAAAAAAAGGGTCTGATCTATTTCCATTAATAAAAACAAACAAATATAGCTAAAAGTATAGCAATACAAAAAATCCATAGTATATGTGTTGATGCATATTAAATCATAACAACCCATATACACACATAATTCGGCCCCTAATGTTGATCTATACTCAAGCTTATAGCATTAAGTATAAGCATATCAGTCATTATTAAACGTATATTTTTCCAAAAGAAAAAAAATTAAGTAACATCAATTTGTTTTATGAATATTTAATTAATTAATTAAAATCAAAACTCAAAACCTGTAAGGAATAATGTGGACTATATCTAAAACTATACATGTTGAACGGATTAATTAATCCTACGAATGACGTGTAAGTAAAAACTGCTATATTTAATTTAGTCAACAGAATTCCCCACTATTTCATTTCCATAGCATTCTAGCTATTTGTAAGTGTATAATTACTAAGAACAAAATATGCCAATGCAAAAGCAACTAATTTTTCACTATAAATAGGTGCATAACACCTCTGAAAGTATTCACAATCTCAACTAGAGCTTATTACATTTACTGAGCAAATTTTAAACAACTAAAACCTTTCTTTCTTCTTTGATACCAGCAATGGCTAATAACAACAGTTTCCTTCTCCTGGCTATTGTGCTCATGGCCGCGGCGGCTCCTCCGGCCTATTCAGCAACCGTATCTGTCAATGTTACTACTATCAGCGTGTCGGGGACACTGCCGACCATCTTACCGGGTGGCGGTATCATTCCGACCGTGCTGTAGTTGATCGGAGTAAATGTTAGTCTGATATGCAACGGTTCTCTCATCGGACAAACTACCACCGGTCTCCTCTCGCTCGGGAATTTTAACATCATAACCGCTAACCTGAGCGCTATAGATCCCCTATTCATTGGCGTAAACGGCTCCATTCCTTGCAATGTCACCGCCAGAGTTCGCGGCGTCGGAAGTATTATTCCGTCAACCGGTCAGATTATCAGTGCTCCAGTCACTGTTACAAGTATTATCTTTGGTGCCCTCAACGGTGTTATTTCCGCCGTGACTGGTGTCTTTTCGCTTGTCGGATGATCTTGTTACCCACATGTTTCGTATAATATCCGTCCAATGATAATAGTCTGATATCCTAAAACTATCTTAGTTTTAAAAATTGGACTACTAGTTAGGGACATATATACAATAAAGTTGCGTGCGCTTTGCATGTTTACAAGAAGAAATAGTATAAATTAATGATCGATGCTATCTATGAAAATGGTCTCTATGGTTTATGAGTGTATTTTGAGAACGTTAATTTCTATATTATTATTCTCTTTACATGCATACGTCTCCCTTTAATGCAAGTGAATGGAGAATAACTGTGTGAAATGAATTATATTGATGCTTTCCCCTCTTATTGCACCCTAAAAATCTAAATTGAACAAACTCCAAATATGTCCGCGGGACGGCACAAAAGCAACAACGTGCTCTTAATATGGCTAATAGAAATAGTGCTCATAGCCACCGCGGCTCTGTCGGCCAATTCAATTCACATGACAAATGAAGTTGCAGTGGTTGGGATAAACAAAGAAGACAACTCTAATTTTAGAATATTTGCAGTGCAAAGTTAGTACTATGCCTGTAATGATATTGAATAAAATACGTATTTTTTTGGTATAAAATACTCATATCAAACCCTAATACTTTCAAATAATTATGAAATAATCCAAAATCGAAGTACTTGTACCATCAATTTAAACAATGCTATTTGCATTTGTTTCTAAAATTGAGTTTAACTAAAATTATTATATCGCTATAAATCTTTTCGTTGAAGAAAAATAATCCACTTATTTAAAACTAAATTGATAGAATAATTTGGAATAATTTTGATTGAAAATAATTCTGTAGAATATTTCAAAATGAGTTTTAGCTTTTTTATTTATTTATTAACAGTCTTAAGTGTTCTAGAGTCATCTATTCCACTTTGCATAGCCGGTAACTTTATCAATCCTGCTATCTCTGACAACTATTTCGTTGACATGCAGCGATTGACCGAAAGTCATGCACAAACCCAACCTAGTACTCCTCCGTCGAATGTGAGTTTAAACGACGGCATTCCTTTTACTCTCAATGCGGCTATTTGGGTCCACCGAGGCCTAGGAAATATTACTCTCCAAATAAGTTTACCTAGCTACTATACTTGTATTTCAAATGATGGGAATTTTTTGACTCAATAAAACGTGACTCTATGACATGAGAAATTTGTATCACGATATCAAACTTTCTTGTTTCATTTGCAAGTCAGCAAAGCAATCTATAACATTTATATTTGATTAAAAGATGAATTGAACGGAGAATAAAAAACATGGGAAATAAGTAGATGGAACACATATTTTAAGGGTAAATCCTAATAAAACTTGTGAATTAAATCTCAATCTTATAATGAAAATTGGTCGATTTTAAATAGAAAAATCATTTTACGTAAAGAAGATTGGAGAATTTGGCTTTGTGTGTGTAAGAGGGGGGGGGATGGGGCGGGCGAGGTGGTGGGGTGGGAAACCAATTGCCTGAAATAAGTCTTCTCGAACTATAGGTCCAAAAAACACGATCTTTGAAACAAACATAGAGTGGGTTAAGGTTTTCGATTGAGAAGTACGCGCAAACTGAAAATTTTGTCTGCACGTAATTTAAATACAAATTACACTTCTGACTATAATGCTTCCTCATACAAGATAACTTGATACTGGACTTTATTATTATTATTCTTATTATAAAGAACCATTGTTGGGATATTCTTTGATTTCCACATCAGTTGTATTATATCTTTCGGAAAAGAAGGCTGATGTAATTATTTTTCTTACCTGGTTAAGAAGGGTTTTTTTTTTTTTTTTGAAGAAGGTTATAGTCAGTCGACCACATTGCTATTAAGCTAGCTAGTAAGCAAAAATGAATTTTACAGTACTAGCAAATTAATTAATTCTAAGATTACGCTTAACCTTTTGAATTGTAGCTTTACAGTAAGCTTTCAAATAAGTGCGATGACTTGCTCATTTTAAGAACTGCTAATACCTAGTATCGTAAAATTTATGCATTGACGACATAATTTATGGACTAATAAACATAATAATTTTCTCAAGGGCAAACAAAAAATTTGCCTTCATTATCTATAGTGTATCAGTTTTAGAAATTTTATCAATTCTAGTAATATTTTTTTTCTTTAAATGAATGAAAATGAAAGGATATGATATTACATTTATATAAAATAAAATAATTACATCATCAGAATAAACTAAACTCGGAGTGGTTTGATTTGGTCCGGTTAACTCGGTTCGGTTCACTTCCTCACCAGTTCGGTTCGGGTTCAACTTTAAAAATACTTATTCAAATATCTTTAGATTTTTTGGATGCAAATAACCATAAAAATAAAAAATTATAGTGAAAAAAGATAATGATTGATTAAAAAACAAAATCACCAACTTTCATCTTTAATAATTGCTAACAAAGAATAATTTGATAAATATGTAAATCATTTTACGTAAACATGATCGGAGAATTTGGCTTTGTGTGTGTGTCTGGGGGAGGGGGGAGGCGTAGTGGTGGGGTGGGAAACCAATTGCCTGAAATAAGTTTTCTCGAACTATAGGTCCAAAAAGTGCGATCTTTCAAACAAACATAGAGTGGGATAAGATTTTCGATCGAGAAGTAGACGCAAACTGAAAATTTTGTCCACAATTAATGTGCGTATTTTTATTCACAATTAAAGAAATATGATTTTGTAATATTTAGCATTCATGATATAGTGATTTAGTTCATATACTTTGGTCCCATCCTTCTTATATAAATAGGGAACTAATTCATGTTTCAGAAAAAACACATCAATAAAAGTCTCTTATCTCTCTCTATTCTCTTGTCTTTACTTTTTTGTGTTATACTTAGTTTCGTATTGCTCTATTAGTATTAATTTTATAACAATTTTAGGGTTATGAGTCACTTTTATTATTATTATTATCCTTTTCACATTCATGTATGCCCTCAGAGAATTTTTGGGAGCAAGAGTTGACTTTCTTTGAAGAATTCTCTCTACTCTATTCAATTCAATATTTTAAGTGAAGATTATTGAGATTAAGATTTCTTTTTCTTTCTGTAATCTTTCTTGTTATGTGCTTATTGATATTTATTACTTTGATAGATTCTTTGTTGAGTATGAGTGAGTAGTTTTCTTGTTCTAGAATTTGGAGTAGCCCAATGATTGTTTATGAATAAAAGTTGTGATTTTCCTTGATATTATGAATGCCACATTCTTATTATTTGATTCTTGTATGGCTAGTGCTTTTAAATTTATTGGCCATTCATTTGCATGATTATGGGTATTGAGTGAAGGATCGAGAGGTGAAATTTTAATACCAGAACCGTAATATCACGAGAGTATGATTTAGTCTTTGAGGGCACATTGAATATCGAAGATCATTAATGGGTTTAAATTAATACAGTCACCATGAGAATAAGATGTTGGTTAATTTAGGCATATTATTATACTTCAAGAGGAGATAATAATTAAAATAAGGTAATTCACCTTTATAAGTTGGCATTCATAGTAGAAAGGGGGTAGTTACAATAATTTGTAATCATCATTGTGGTGCACCGAGTTCTAAACATTTGTCATCATCTGCTTTCCTAAAAAGTTTGAGCTATTTATTTAGTTGTTTGCTTTATAAATATTCACTAATCTCAAAGTTTGCATTGGTTTAGCTAACTAAGTTTTAGGAATTCAGTACTTAGTATCTTAGTTCTCGTGGGAACAATTTCTTATTGCTACACGATAAGCTCATGCGCTTGTGGTAGACATACAACAATTGTTAGGGTCATACTGTCAATTGAATTTCCTCTAAAGTACTTTTACTACCCTTACTAGCTTTATTGGTGACATGAATTTCTATTGTTAACAGAGAGGTCATACAAATCAAGCCATTGAGGATGTGTTGGGGATTGAAACCCCTAATCACACACACAATTAACACATAACAGAAAATCAACAAGCACACAAATGCACAATTTAACGTGGTTCGGTCTCTCAATAGATCTATGTCCACCGAAAAATACACCATCACCATTAGATCTAAAAAATAAAAAAATTTACAGTGTATGTTCTCTCGCCTAATATACCATGTCTCTCGTCACTCAATTTTATTTTTCCTTTCATCTCTCCCTTTTGGCAGCATTGTGATTTCTAACTAATTTTAGTACAAATTAACATCACATATTTATATTAAGATATTACTCACTAAGTGGGCTAATAATAATTCAACCCTAATGAAGTTTGGACTTTGAGAAAATAAGCCAACAGGACGTTGCTTTTCGTTTTACATTTAGCACGAAAAGGAATAGGGTAAGAAAGATGCGCTTCTTTAATCAATTAACAATAAAGTACACTGGTTGACTCAAGGATATGAAAGAGGCAACCTAACCGGTCATGTCTAGTGAGTCCAACTTTAAGTACTTCAGTTTCAAAAACTGCCCTTCTTTCATGTTTCATTCTTACCCTTGAAATGCTTCGAACATCAACTTGAGGGCTTCAAGGTTATCTAAAATTCCAATCATTGAAGTAAGACTCCAAGGTCTGCGGAAGTTTGTGAGAGTCAACTCCTTTAGAGTAGAAGGAAAGTTGAATTGACCAGCATTGAGAACGTTTCCATGGTATATTATCATCGGAGCCTCCAACTTGCGCAGTGATTTGAATGTACGAAACTATGTACATTCCACATAAGCGTCTCATGGTCCTAAAGCTAGGAATATCATGCCATTAGATGCCTTCCCACATTTTAAAACATAGAAAGGAAAGCGATACCAAAGTTGACCTATGCGATACAAATGCATGTTTACCATAACTCAAAGTGAAGAGACGGCCCGCTTACGTACTTACATGAACATGCCTCAATTTTTTCATGCCCCAAGTGGTGTCTGGTAGAACAACCTTCCTCTTTAAACCCTTTACCCCAAAAGCTTCAAGATTCTTCAGTTTGGATAAAGATGGGGGAACACTTGCAAAAAAAAAAAAAAAAACCCTTTTTTTTACATGGTTGATTCTTTTGATATTT